TGCCTCATCCAGCACCTCTAAGCCTGTCCAAAATAAAAGTGTTCATCCTACCAACTTCCCTTTTTCTCATAAATGACAGCAGCATGATTCCAGTTACTCTTACTCAAAATTCCAACATGATTGCTTTTTCTTTTACTTTTTAAAACCTAAATTAGAGGCACCTGGCTGTCTCAGTCTGTGGAGCATGTGACTCTTGATCTCAGGGTTAAAAGTTCGAGCTCCACAATGGGTGGAGAGATTACTTAGAAAATCTTTAAAAACTAAATTAGTGGTACATGTCTATTGAAGAAAATGTGGACAAGGAGACACTTCTTTTAAAATCTAAAATTATCTTTTTTTCTAAAGATTTTATTTTTTTAAGTAATCTCTACACTCAGTGTAGGGTTTGAACTCATATCCCCAAGATCAAGAGTCCCATGTCCACTGACTGAGCCAGCCAAGCGTCCCTTAAAATTATCTTTCAACAACAGTATGAATAACTATAAATAAGGAACTTGTGAAATAAATTATGGAACATCCATACAATGGAATATCATGCAGGAATTTAAAAATTTCAAAAAAAGAAGCAAAATTTAAATTTTATATTACAGATAAAAGTCAACTTTCTAGTTAATACTTTCGGGGAGATTCTCTTTTCCCTAGATGTAGGCTGAAAACCAAAAGAAATGGATTTATGCTCTTTATTGTCCAGACTTGCTTCTCTTATGTTCTTTAGCTTGGAGAATGGCAGTACCATCTATCCAGTTGTGAAGCCAGAAACTTGAGAGTTATCTTCAACCACTCCCCATCGCTCACTGCTACAGCCAACAGGCAACTTCTTCCATAGCTCTTTGTTCTCTTCCGTAGCTCAACAGATTCTTTGTGCCTATTGCCTGGATGACCACAATATCATCACAGATTTCCAGGATTTTAGAATCTCCTTCTTCCGGCCCATCTTCCGCATTGCCATTACAGTTATCAACCCTAGACTCTAATGATAGTAATAGGTAATTTTTCTGCTGTTTGCTTCAAAGACCTACAGGAGAAGGTTTAACCATGTAATGGACTCTCAAAATGCCATGCCTCTTCATGCGTAGTATGACTGTTTTTTTCTTTTTTGTCTGACAAATTCCATCTCATTTTTATTTATTTATTTTTTTAAGATTTTATTTATTTATTTGACAGAGACACAGTGAGAGAGGGAACACAAGCAGGGGGAGTGAGAGAGAAAGAAGCAGGCTTCCGGCTGAGCAGGGAGCCCAATGCGGGGCTCGATCCGAGGACCCTGGGATCATGACCTGAGCTGAAGGCAGATGCTTAACGACTGAGCCACCCAGGCTCCCCCCTCCATCTCATTTTTAAACACAGCTCAAATGTCACTTCTTCTCTGGCTCTGCCAGTATTATTCAACCCTTTGTGCTTCCAAAAGCACTTTGCACATACCCCTTATATGACACTTATTACATTATATCACCCAGTTTAATGATGCTTATTATTTAAGACTTATCTATATCTCACTTTTTTTTTACCTTTTTACTTCTTCATTTCTAGTTTTTTGGGTTTTTTTTT